TATTTATACATATACTAGTCTCTATATGGTACAAAATCTATTGAAATGTGTGCTCATAGATTAGCATAGGGTTAAATGCTATTCAAATTTGCAGACGAGCCTTACTTCCCCACTGGAGGCGGATTTTACTTTCATTGTTTGCAGAACCATTTATTTATTTAATTCCATTTGTTATTATTATATTTTAATTTGATGAGAGGTTTTTGCTATAGGGCGTGTGCACTCGCCAGACAGACAGAGAGAGACAGAGAGACAGAAAGCAGAAAATTACCCCCCAGGGGAGATGGCCGTGCCGCAATCCCCTCTCCTCCATTATCCTCTCGGGATCTTGGGCACACATGCACACGCGCCTGGCGTGAGCTTAAGCCACCGGGTCCAGGACTCAAACCGCGGCGGACCACATGTGAGTTCAGCGACATAGCCATTACACAAACTGCTGGTCCCAAAATCCAGATTTCTGGGAAGAGAATCTAATTGAACTAATTACAGTGAGATGTCCCCTTCTGATTCACTTATTTCTAAGAGGAATGAGTCAATAAGTATCAAATCACCCTCTGTCCATACAGCAGGGGGTTTGGCTTCTCAAGGTCTCAGATTGTTTTATCACTTCAGAGGGGAAGAGGCAGAGGCAGTGAAATCAAACAGGCACAGAGGCCTGGAATGGCAATGGTCAGACTTGGGCTATTGTGAGATCTGGTCCCAGCCACATCAAGAGTAACAATCACGCATGCTGGGCACATGGGGGTGTAGATGGGCTTGACTAGGGCTCAGGTTGGTTAGCGGCATTGTGGGTGACCAAAGCTCAAAGCAGAGGTTGCAAGACTTCCTTCATAGACACACAAGGACTTGTTCTCCCTAGTGCTCAACAGACAATACCAGACTGAGCACTGTGGCTGCCACAGCAGGTGGAAGGAAGGTGTGCCTGTGCCGGGCATGGGAAGAAAGGCACTGTTCTTCTCAAAGCAGAATGCGGAGGGACGCCAACCAGGGCCCTGCTGGGCAGTGGAGAGGAAGGACCTGTGGTCAGTGTAGTTCCTGCCTCTATCCTCCCACACATCATCATTTGCTGTTTCTCTGACTTGGGCCTTTTTTGGGAGAAAAAGCCATCCAACTAGAAGCCTCTCCTTGTTCACTAAAAGTAAAAGAAAAATCACCGAAAGCCACCCCCTGGTCATTACACTAGCCCAACACTCTAGCTCCAGAAACACCTTCCCAACCAAGAAACAATCTAGGAAGCCAGAGGTAAGATAACTCCCCTTTGACTCTCAGCATCTTGGAGGTCCTGAGGCCTCATTCCTAGAAAGAGCGGTCAAGGGACAACCCTGGCACTTAGGACTTGGACCCATGCTCAAGCCTCTCCCTTAGTCCAAGCCCATGGTTCAGGTTCAATCAAGCCAGGTGGGAAGAACCTAAAAGAGCTGGTTAACAGTTGTAGGTGGACAAAGTGATGGTGCTAGCGAGCCAATGCCTGCCTAGAGAGTCAGGGTCTGGGGAGAAAGTGGCAGTCTCTCTACAAGAATGGAAAGGACCACCTGCTGTTTGGGCTCTTCAGCCCTGACCTCTGAAAATCTAAGCCTATTTTCTCGCTCAGAACAAGTGTCACAGAGGCTGGGAGCTGAGGATGAGCCACAGTATCTTTGCGTGTTTACTATGACCATGGCCTGGAGCCTGCTGCCCACAGTGTGACCACTGGCCCTGGAACCTTCTGCTGCTTTGACTTCTATAACTGAATCTAACAGGTCAGAGTTGGGACACAGCAGTCAGTCAGGTGTGATTTAGAAGTTGGAGGAGAGGTAAAGCACTCTTAGCTATGACTCTAGCAGCCTCTTGGTCCTTCCTGGCACCTTGGATTCCACTGAGTTCTAGGATTAGGCAGGAATATACATGTAATTTTTTTTTTTAACTGCTAGAAAGCACATTTGTTTGCTAGAGAGAGGGAGAATGCACTGCCAATGAGGTGTGGTCACGCTCTAATCCCTTTTCCTCCATTTCTCCAATCTGTTGAGATTCCGGACATGTATGCACATGTGCCCATCATGCTTTTCAAACGAAGGCCAGGATTCGAACAGTCATGTTGTATGACTGACACCATTTAACACCAGCCCCAGATGCCCTGTCCTTGTCCCTCTCACAATGCCATGCCCCACAGGACCTAGCCCTATTTCATCCCTATTTCTTGGTGTCTCCTGAGCAGTCAGAATGAAATGCCAATATCACATCTAGAGGTCTTCTATAGCCTGGGTAACCTAATTCCCTGGTCCTTTCCCCACTGCTCACATCCCTGAAAGTTGCTCTGTGATATCATAATGCTGGCTGTGACCTCATCACTCCCTTTGACTCTCCCACTCTCAATGGATGAATGTAACCTACTTTGAGTCTTCAAACTAATGCTGGCTGTGATCTCATCACTCCCTCTGACTCTCCCACTCTCAATCGATGAATGTAACCTACTTTGAGTCTTCAAACTAGCCCCCTCTAGCCTTGAGTCCATCCTGAACCAGCCTCATTGAGCATTTGAATATTGCCTCATTCTTCCTTGCATCTCTCAGAGGACTGCTTTCCTCGATGTGCGCCCTACCTCGTTAATCTATTTTCATCACTCTTTAGAAAAGTGTCTTTGATACCAGGGTCCCAGTAAATATGACTGAGTGGCCATCTGATTTTTAATAGAGATTGGGAAGAATGCCCTGGTCACTCTTCTCTTTGGTTAACCTTACATCCTTTACAGCTAGTGCCTCTGAAAAACACACCTCAAACCTTGTAACTACAGTGCCAATTTACTTTCTCTTAACCTGACATTCCATGCTCTCGAGTTAATGAGTTTGAAAAATCACAAATCTCTTAGTGGTCTACATGTCTTTTGGGAATAAATACCCAGAAGAGGGCAAGTACTAAAAGCTTCATTTTTTTTTTTCCATCTCTCCTAGCTGGGAGTCCCATGAATCACCTGATAGCATTCTCTGGGAATTCAAAAGTCCAAATACTATACAACT